TCTATAGAAGTGAAGAATAATTCCAGCCTTGAAATGCTAGAAAGAATACTTCTGCTTAGTTACATTGACTTACCATATCACCTCAAATGTTCCTTCTTGTACTTGAGTGTTTTCCCGGAGGATTATTTGATCAAGAGAATGAAAATTATCCGGCTATGGGTGGTTGAAAGATTTATGGAAGAGAAACCAGGCCTCATTGCTGAAGAGGTTGCAGAGGACTACCTTAATGAACTTGTTAGTAGGAGTATGATTCAAGTAGTGCAAAAGGATAATTTTAACCGGGTTAGGACTTGTTGTGTACATGATATTATGAGAGAAATTATCCAGTTGAAATCTAGAGATGAATCATTTGCTATGATACTACTGAATGATAGAAGGATGTCAACGGATGAGAAGATTCGCTGAATGTCAATCCATGCCAACTGTACGGAAGAGCTCCCATCAGACATGAGATTCACTAGCCTCAGATCACTTTTGGTGTTTGTTTCAACGAGATCTTCAATGTCTTTGGGAAAGACATTCTCTAAGGGTTTCAAATTGTTAGGAGTGTTGGAGCTTGAACTTGCACCGCTTTATGAATTCCCTCCAGAGCTGACTGAAATGATTCACTTGAGATACTTAAGTCTAAGGAGTACTATGTTAAGGAAGCTTCCAGAGTCCATAGGAAAGCTCAAGAAATTAGAAATATTGGACCTCAAACATTGTCTCATGACTTGCATATCATCCCTGCCAAATGGGATCTTGAAGTTGAAACATCTTTGCCAGTTGCGTGCCTATGGCTATTGTTTTGAATCATCAACGATGTTTGCCAGCACATACGGGATGAATCTTCCGGGCAAGATAGGTGAATTAACAAATCTACAGAAATTGGGAAATGTTGAAGTGAATGATAATGGTGATATGTTGAGAGAGTTAGGAAAGCTAACCCAACTAAGGAGGTTGGGTATCTTGAAACTGACGCAAGAAAATGGAATGGAGCTATGTTCTTCTTTAGAGAAGTTGATGTGGGATATCATCACCCCATGTGAGGGGTGATCCTCCATGTGTTGCAAGGTTGGCCATGTTAGGAAGCCAACACACATGAGCTGGCCATGTGAAGCCAGCACACAAGATAGCTGGCCATATGCAAGGCCAGCCTCTCCATCTCCATTCTGATTGAGTATAAATGGAGGCTAAGGAGAGGGTTTGAGAGAGAGAGCAGAGCAAGTCACAGAGAGTGAAATATGTGAGGCGGAGAGACCGTCTCCCTCGGTGTGAGCGAGGGAGACGGGAGAGTGGGTGAGTGAGGAGAGTGTGAGCTCCTCCTCTATTGTAATCTTTCTGTAATATTTCCATTGTTATAGTGATAACCGGTTACTCTCCCGTGGACGTAGGCATTGAGGCCGAACCACGTTAAATATTGTGTCTCCTTGAGTGTGGGTGTGTTTTTCTGCATGGAATAATTTCTATAAGGTCTTGGGCGGGATCCCAGATCCCAACAGTTGAAGCACCTCACTGCATTATACATGGTTTCCATAAGCACCACCGAACCTCTTCATCTTAATTCTCTATCATCCGGTCCACGGTTTCTACAACGCCTATATCTGAAATTGTTGTTCGAAACTGCCCAGAAATCGTATTGCTCGAAATCAGTTTTTGAGCATACCAGGAGCAAGGGCTCAACGAAAGGAGTCCAGAAATATAAAGCAGACACCCAACGGAGGCCGCACGCGCCTTCACGCGCCCCTGGAAGTTGGCGCGTGAATCCCAGTCGCGACACGCGCCTCCACGCGCCGTTTAGGCACCCGGCGCGTGATCCCAGTCTCAGGCACGCGCCACACGCGCGGCGAGAGGAAGAAGGTGACTGAGCAGACGCGCGTCCATGCCACGCGCCAGGTCCACGCGCACGCCATGTGGACCCACGTCAGCAGCGACGTGTCATAATCGTCGCCACGTGTCATCCACGTGGCAGCCCCGTCATCTGCCACGTCAGCATCCAGAGGAGGGACCCAGTGCTTCGCGGCTACGGTGCATTCGCAGATCTGAGGCGTACAAAATATTTTGGCTAGATCTAAGCCATTTGGAGTCCGTTTTTGGCGATCCAATAGTGGTTTTCAACTATTTGGAGTATTCCGGACACATCCGTACGGTCAGATTTTGAAAAAACCTTTTGAGACGGCATTTTGAGTATTTGTGACGGCATTTTACCGTCGCAAAAAATCAATTTTTTTGTAGTGGCTGCATCCATAGAAGCGGCTGGTCATGTTCACCATCTCCAACCTCTGCCAGACAAAGAGGCTTGGTCACTCTTTTGTATAAAAGCTTTTCAAGGGGAAAACAAAGGTGTTTGCCCAAAATCTATGAAGCACAGACACCTCTACGAGGGCTCCGTACCAGTGTCAGACACGTGTCGGACACGGACACGCGGTGGACACGTGTCCGACACTCATGGGAGAGTGTCCCATTTTTTTTTTTAATTTTTTTACATCCGGACACATTTTGGACACGTTATAGACACGTTTGGGACACGCGCGGGGGCAATTTCACAGTTTAATAAAAATTTTTGGGGTTGATTTGAAAATAACCAAAAACAGATCAAATTTGCCCTAATCTACTATTCGCCCTAATCTCTTCGAATCGACTTTCGAATAGAAGATAAACAGCAGAGAAAGGGTGAGAAAGAGAGAAAGAGAGATGACCTGACTTCGTCGTACGTCTTCTCTCGTCGATCGTTGCTCCTCGTCGATCGTCTGTCGTCGGTCGGCTGTCATCGGTCTGCGATCTTCTTTGTGCAATCTTCAGTCGATTTGCTGCTTCATTAAGGTACGACTCTTCTTCGATCTTCTTCGATCGCTCCCTCTCTCTTCGATAGCTCTCTCTCTTTCTGTCTCAGCCTCTTCTTTCTTTTATTTCATTTTTTTCCTTTTATTTTGATTTTGATTTTGATTTTTATTTTATTTTTTTCTTTTATTTTTTTTCGTTTATTAATTTAATTTTTTCTTTTCTTTTTCTTTAATTCTGATTTTGATTTTGTTTTATTTTATTTTTTCTTTTCTTTTATTTTTTTTATATTCTGATTTTATTTTTTCTTTTCTATTATTTGAGGATATAATTTTAATAATGTATGTTTATTAATTTTATTATAGGGACCAATTATTAATTCTGAAACAATGGCTACGGGTTTTTGATGAGAACAAACCATTGTGGAAGTATGTAACTAAATTAGCAAAACCTGGGGAAGGAGGAGGAAATTGCCAATTACAATGTAAATTTTGTAATAATACTTTCAAAGGTTCATATACAAGAGTAAGGGCACACTTGTTAAAACTCCCAGGAAAGGGAATTGGTGCTTGTAAGAAAGTGACAAGTCAAAAACTTTCACAACTACAAAATGAGAATGATGCTGCTGAGCTGAGAATTAAAAATGCTCTTCCCAAAAATGTACCATTGCCTCCTTCCACTGTATCAGTGGGTAGTAGTTATGCTTATGAATCAAAGAAGAGGAGAACATGTGAGAGTGGGAGTGGGAGTGGGAGTGCGCCTGGGAGTGGGAGTGGAAGTGCTATTGAGAAAGCATTCAACTTGAAGGATAGAGAGCAATTGCATTTTGAAATTGCTAGGATGTTCTACTCGGGGGGGGTACCTTTTAATCTTGCAAGAAATCCTTACTATGTTAGCTCTTACACATTTGCTGCAAATCATAATATTCCTGGATATTTGCCTCCCGGTTATAATTTGTTACGAACCACATTACTTCAAAAAGAGAGGGCAAACATTGATAAATTGTTGCAACCAATTAGGGGCACATGGAAGGAAAAAAGGGTAAGCATTGTTAGTGATGGTTGGAGTGATTCTCAAAGGAGGCCTTTGATTAATTTTATGGCAGTGAGTGAAAGTGGGCCTATGTTCATTAAAGCAGTTGATTGTTCTGGAGAAACTAAAGACAAATATTTCATTGCAAATTTGATAAAAGAAGTGATTAATGAGGTTGGGCCAAGTAATGTGGTTCAAGTCATCACGGATGATGCTCCTAATTGTAAGGAAGCCGGACAACTCATTGAAGCTCAATTCCCTCATATTCTATGGACTCCTTGTGTGGTGCACACATTAAATCTAGCTTTGAAAAATATTTGTGCCGCAAAGAATATTGAGAGGAATGAAGTCACATATGAAGAATGTAGTTGGATTATTGATATTGCCGGAGATGGTTTGATGATTAAGAATTTTATCTCTAATCACTCAATGCGATTGGCTATGTACAATGAATTTGTGTCATTGAAGTTGCTTTCGGTTGCCGAAACACGATTTGCCTCCACAATTGTTATGCTCAAAAGGTTAAAGCTTATAAAACGTGGTCTTCAAGCAATGGTAATTAGTGACAAGTGGAATTGTTATAGAGAGGATGATGTTGGGAAAGCAAAATTTGTGAAAGAAACGATTTTGGATGATGTGTGGTGGGATTACATTGATTATGTTCTTTCCTTCACGGGTCCTATATATGACATGCTTAGGGCTTGTGATACGGACAAACCTTGCCTTCACTTAGTATATGATATGTGGGACTCAATGATAGAGAAAGTGAAGATGTCAATTTATAGGCATGAAGGGAAAAGAATAGATGAGGAATCTACATTTTACAATGTGGTGCATCAAATTCTTGTGGATCGTTGGAATAAAAACAATACTCCTCTCCATTGTATGGCACATTCACTGAATCCAAAGTAAGTACCACATTTAAATTTGTTTTAGATATTTCATTTTAATGGACTTATCTAGTCTTTCTTGAAATAATTATTTTTCCTATTTTGGATTGTAGGTATTATAGTGATGAGTGGCTCCATGAGGATCAAAATAGAGTTCCTCCACATAGGGATGAAGAGGTGACACGTGAGAGGAACAAGTGTTTTAAGAGGTATTTTGAAGATATCACGGAGCGAACCAAGGTGATAACTAAGTTTGGAAAATTTTCGGGTTATGTTGAAGCATTCTCAGAGTATGATTCCATTCATAATAGGTGACACATGGATCCTTATACTTGGTGGTGTGCATATGGTACATATGCACCATCTCTTCAAAAACTAGCTTTGAGATTGCTTGTGCAACCTGCCTTTTCATCTTGTTGTGAGAGAAATTGGAGTACTTACTCCTTTATTCACTCAGTGAGAAGGAACAAGATGGTCCCTCAACGCGCGGAGGATTTGGTGTTCATTCATAGCAATCTTCGTCTTTTATCAAGGAGGAGCTCCCAATACTTGCAAGGAGAGACAAAAATGTGGGATATTGCCGGAGATAACTTTGACTCACTTGATGATATTGGAATGCTTGGGATAGCTAACCTCTCACTTGATGAACCGGCTATGGAGGCAATCCTATTTACAGATGAAGGAGAAGATGGAGGCGGTGGTGAAGATGTTGTAATAGTTTCCTCTACTTAGGTTGATATTTATGGATTTTGTAATAGTTATTGGTACATTGGATAATTTTATATTTTGTGGTTTGATTTTCATGCATTTTGTAACAAATGATGGTTGGTAGCTTCGAATGACATGTTATGTATTGATGGAATGCTATTTTATGTTAATTGTGAACGATATATATGGTATTAAATCAATTAAATGTTTATTTTTTATACTTTTAATAGTGTTATTTTGTATATTTTATTATCTTTATTTGATTTTTTTAATAGTTTTATGACATATAATAAATAAAATTAATTATATATATTGAACGTGTCCCCGGCGTGTCGTGTCCCCTATTTTTTGAAAATTTGCATTTTTGCGTGTCCGTGTCGTGTCGCGTGTCCGTGTCCGTGTTTCATAGCCCAAAATAATTGGAGGGGATATCTTATAGTATCTTAAAAAGGTGTAGGGTCCTTTTTGTCTAAGAAGAATAAACTTCTGTTGGAATGGAAAAAAGTCCATGACAGCCTTTCTATAGAAGTGAAGAATAATTCCAGCCTTGAAATGCTAGAAAGAATACTTCTGCTTAGTTACATTGACTTACCATATCACCTCAAATGTTGCTTCTTGTACTTGAGTGTTTTCCCGGAAGATTATTTGATCAAGAGAATTAAAATTATCCGGCTATGGGTGGTTGAAAGATTTGTGGAAGAGAAACCAGGCCTCACTGCTGAAGAGGATGTAGAGGACTACCTTAATGAACTTGTTAGTAGGAGTATGATACAAGTAGTGCAAAAGGATAATTTTAACCGGGTTAGGACTTGTTGTGTACATGATATTATGAGAGAAATTATCCAGTTGAAATCTAGAGATATATCATTTGCTATGATACTACTGAATGATAGAAGGATGTCAACGGATGAGAAGATACGCCGAATGTCAATCCATGCCAACTGTAAGGAAGAGCTCCCATCAGACATGAGATTCACTAGCCTCAGATCACTTTTGGTGTTTGTGTCAACGAGATCTTCAATGTCTTTGGGAAAGACATTCTTTAAGGGTTTCAAATTGTTAGGAGTGTTGGAGCTTGAACTTGCACCGCTTTATGAATTCCCTCCAGAGCTGACTGAAATGATTCACTTGAGATACTTAAGTCTAAGGAGTACTATGTTAAGGAAGCTTCCAGAGTCCATAGGAAAGCTCAAGAAATTAGAAATATTGGACCTCAAACATTGTCTCATGACTTGCATATCATCCCTGCCAAATGGGATCTTGAAGTTGAAACATCTTTGCCAGTTGCGTGCCTATGGCTATTGTTTTGAATCATCAACGATGTTTGCCAGCACATACGGGATGAATCTTCCGGGCAAGATAGGTGAATTAACAAATCTACAGAAATTGGGAAATGTTGAAGTGAATGATAATGGTGATATGTTGAGAGAGTTAGGAAAGCTGACCCAACTAAGGAGGTTGGGTATCTTGAAACTGACGCAAGAAAATGGAATGGAGCTATGTTCTTTAGAGAAGTTGAAGCACCTCACTGCATTATACATGGTTTCCATAAGCACCACCGAACCTCTTCATCTTAATTCTCTATCATCCGGTCCACGGTTTCTACAACGCCTATATCTGAAATATAGTTTACCTACTTTGCCTAAATGGATCGCCTCCCTCCAATACCTCGCCAAACTAGTGCTTCAACACTCTAATCTAAATGATGACCCGCTAAAGTCACTCCACGGATTGCCTAACTTGGTAGTGCTGGAACTCCGAGAAGCATTTGTAGGGGAGGAACTGTGTTGCAATATTGGAGGGTACCCAAGGCTTAAAAAGCTTAGCCTTCAACAACTAAGCCAATTGAAGTGCTTACGAGTAGAGCAAGGAGCAATGCCTGGGCTAAGGGGACTAGATATTGCAGCATGTGAGAAACTAGAAATGGTGCCATTGGGTATCAAGCACCTTAGAAATCTACAGCGTCTAATGGTATGGTTCATGCCTTGGAGATTCTACCAAACTATAGCACGACCACATGGTGAAGATTTTTGGAAAGTTCAACACATTCAAACAATTGAAGCCATTTATTGAAATCGTTTATATGCACAAACTTAGTCATACTGAGTATTGATACATATAGATATGTATATATATGTGTGTGGATATTGCAATGAGAATTTTGTGAATTTTTTGGGTATGGAACCCCTTCTCTCTCTGCCGCACACCAGTTCTCGTTGAGACTTTTCTGGAAACAATTGAAAGCATGCTAGTACAATACATTAGTCAACTGTTTCTTACTCATAGATAATTGTTAGTATTTACAAACCCCTGTTTGTTTATTAACTTTTTAATTAATTTTTATTAGGAAAAATTTCTCTTGCAAGTGAAATTATTTTGATTCAAAGAAATTGAAAGAACATCAACAAATCTAATACTATGAGAACACTTTTCGGTTTCTGGAAAATATCATTGAAAAGCTACAACCTTCTGTAGTGTTTATTTGTCGGAATGCCATTCAATACACAACAGAGCTAGCCTTGACATATATAGGCTGCTGAACAATGTTTGATGGGCCAATTTAAGCAAAAAAACGAACTTCAAATTTGACATCAATACAAGGCAGCTTTCAAGATACAGAGGAAAAGAAAATGGAACTTAATTTTTTTTTCATTTACCGTTCTAAACTTGGGTCTCTTTGATGTTCTGCAAGAGTGGCACTTTTTCTCCGGGTGATTTTGACCTGGTTTCCTCATCATCCTTGATCACTTTTTGTTCTTTGGATTTTCCCCACATAACAGAGTAAAATCCTATAACAATAATAACTGATCCCACCACACTGCACAAAAACAATGTTTTAAAAATTATGATTACTAATATGCAGTATTAGGATTCATCTCTTATCAAATTTGACATAATTGGATCCGGCTCAGATTCGGGTTATTTTATAATCAGATCGAATTAGGATTACGCTAGATCTGGTACAAATCTGATCTGTAATTAACAAAAATACAACAACATTTAAAAGAAGTAGAGAGAGAATTTCACTACCTTCCCAAATACAAAATATCACCAAAGACGATGATACCAACCACGGTCGAAATGACAATCCCCAAGGGGTGAAACACTGCAATAAAAAGAGGCCCCCTCTGGCGCAGACACCACACCAGAATGCTTACTTGTATTGCAGAACCAACAATTCCCTACATTTTGGCACATAATAAGTCACTATGCTGCATATTTATTCTGCAACGTAAATCATACTGATCAAGTGGTACATCACTCAAATTGATTTTCTCTCCTAATGAGTGTATGTGTTTGATTAAATCATCCTGAGTTCAACAATCAGAAAGACGAAACCATAGACTTACTGAGAAAAGAATGGAAAGCAACTTCACAGAAGGTAGTAAGCTCCAAGCGGCTGGGTCTCTTTCCATAACCAAAGATAAAATTCCAGTCATAATTGCGACGAAAAAGCAGTAGAAAAATACTATAATAAGCTCCGTGCCAAATTTCGTGAGGAGAAATGCCTGAAACAACAGCGGGATAAAATAAAAATAAAAAATGGTAGTGATAGTATGTTGGTAATTAATTTCTAGTATGTTTGAGAGCGTTTTCATGGAGTCTACCTGAGTAATAATGTATGCCGAAGAAGACAAACATTCGATTGTAAGGAGAAAAGCTCCAAGGACCAAGTTGTACTGCGTCGCAGTCATTAGAAGTGAGGGACCCTTGTAGAGTGTCACAATGAGAGCCCCTACAATCGAGACTATAGTTCCGATGGATTTAGCTAGGGTACTTGAACTTTTAAAATCAGCTTGTTCCAACCTAAACAAATCCGTTGAACAAATTTAAAACCATATGGCAGAACAAATAGTTACGTGTAAAACAGTAGTACGATTCGTTAATGATTAAGTGACATTGTGTATTTGTGGTGTGTTCACGAATAAAGTTTCAAACATGAATTTGGTAGAAACTCGTGATGATTAGTTAACTTTAAGGTAATGAAACTACTACCAAGATTAACAGCAATTTGACCTTATAAAAACATATGGATAGATTATTGAGTGTGATTCCTAGCTTCGTACATGGACGGAACAAGATTTGTTTTCCTAATTTCTCTAAAAAAATTGGTTTTGTACTGTTGATTTTCCATATCCAAACGGAAAATTAGCATTTCCTGAAAAATCTTTGAAAAGGGGATCCGGATAAATGACTAGGATTGTCACATAAATTTTCTACTCTAACTTCATCTTCAGAGCTGCAACCACACACACACATTAATGTACATATTTGATAAATTATGAAACCACCTAAAAAATCAGTGAAAAATGTGATTCAAGCTAATGACAAAAATTTCACATTATGCAAAATTTAAAGAATTTGTCAAGAAATTAGAGTTATAGAGGGAGAGCAGAATGGAACCTGAAAATGACAGCAAGTGTGAATGTAAAACCTGGGACCAGGTTCATAATTGCTGTGGAAAATGATGCTGGAGTTATCTGTACTGCTACATTCCCAACTACCTGTGATGTGCAACTGAACAAAATGAACACAGTCTAAGGTCAATCTATGTTGTATTTATCGTATTGAACACAAAAAGTTATACAAAATGATAAGGAAACTTTGGTTTTAGGGTAAATTACACTGACCATCCCTTAGGTTTTAAAAAAGTACAACATGGATAAATTACACTAAGTTCTCCTAAGATTTGAAAAAAATACAACAAATCTCACAATTTTAATATAACTACATTAAGTTCTTTTTAAAACCATATGGCAGAATAAATAGTTACGTGTAAAACAGTAGTACGATTCATTAATGATTAAGTGACATTGTGTATCTGTGGTGTGTTCACGAATAAAGTTTCAAGCATGAATTTGGTAGAAACTCGTGATGATTAGTTAACTTTAAGGTAATGAAACTACTACCAAGATTAACAGCAATTTGACCTTATAAAAACATATGGATAGGTTATTGAGTGTGATTCCTAGCTTCGTACATGGACGGAACAAGATTTGTTTTCCTAATTTCTCTAAAAAAATTGGTTTTGTATTGTTGATTTTCCATATCCAAACGGAAAATTAGCATTTCCTGAAAAATCTTTGAAAAGGGGATCCGGATAAATGACTAGGATTGTCACATAAATTTTCTACTCTAACTTCATCTTCAGAGCTGCAACCACACACACACATTAATGTACATATTTGATAAATTATGAAACCACACACACACATTAGTGTACATATTTGATAAATTATGAAACCACCTAAAAAATCAGTGAAAAATGTGATTCAAGCTAACGACAAAAATTTCACATTATGCAAAATTTAAAGAATTTGTCAAGAAATTAGAGTTATAGAGGGAGAGCAGAATGGAACCTGAAAATAACAGCAAGTGTGAATGTAAAACCCGGGACCAGGTTCATAATTGCTGTGGAAAATGATGCTGGAGTTATCTGCACTGCTACATTTCCAACTACCTGTGATGTGCAACTGAACAAAATGAACATAGTCTAAGGTCAATCTATGTTGGACATATTGTATCGAATACCAAAAGTCAAACAAAATGATAAGTAAATTTTGGTTTTAGGGTAAATTACACTGACCATCCCTGAGGTTTAAAAAAAGTACAACATGAATTACACTAACCTCTCCTAAGATTTGAAAAAAAATACAAGCCCCACAGTTTTGACATAACTACATGAAGTTCTCTTAAGGTTTCACATAAAATTTCCTTTTCATCAATAATTTGTTGTTATTCCTTGTTTATCCTAGTGTTTTCATACAATCTATATTAGTTTTGGTCTATTTAACCTCACTAAAGGGGAGATCAGTGTAATTATATCAAAATTGTGAGGTTGTTTGTATTTTTTCCAAATCTTATGAGAGGTGAGTATAATTTACCCTCTGAAAAAATATCAAACCTCTGGAAAAAGGGTTAATCACACTTTTTACTCGTCCAGTAGTTTGATCTAAATTTTATGTTAATCCCTAGTTTCAAAATGAACAATTTGGTATCTACATTTTAAGTCCAATTTCAACTTCAGTCCAAATTTGAGGTCAAAATTAACAATTTCGGGATACATGTCAATTTTCTAAGGTGGCACGTAGAATAAATTAAAAGAAATCCGGACGGAATGATCAAATTGAAATTGCACTTAAAGTGTAAGGACCAAATTGTTCAATTTAAAATTGTAAGAACGAAAATGAAATTTAAATCAAACTGTAGGGGTAAAAAGTGTAATTAACCCCTGGAAAAATATCAAAACTTTCATCTCCCTTGTTTCTATCAATGGAATTCTCCATGAATGATCTATCTCCAAGAAATGGAGATAAAGACTCGTTAAATTGAATATATATTTTTAAAAATTCGATTTCCAAATCATTTAAAATCTTGAAAAAATAGTTCATACACTATATCTGCATTTTGAAGAAGGTAAAAACCCCAAAATTTATATTTGGCAGATACATTCGTTCTCTTGGATCTCTTCATTCAATTTCATGAATCTATCGAAAAATTCACAGATCCAATCAAAGATTTGCTATATATATGGATGTTCTTACTAGGATATATACAAGTCAAGCAGTTAGAGACATACCCAAGTAAGCTTATCACGAAAAATTTGCAGAGGAGAGAGAAAGTGATTGGAGGACGAGTTGATCTGCATGGAAATGGAAACATGGTTAAAGAACAGAGGAGCGAGAGAGAGAGAGAGAGAGAGAGAGAGAGTACCTATGAAGAAGAAAGGAGGTGAGGAGAAGGATGAGGGCAGCAAGAGAATTGGAGTAGAAGACAAAGGTGAACTTGGTGAGGCCATGTGAAGTGGCTTCTTTGACTGCTACTATCATACCCACCTGTATAAACTGTATACTCACCATACCCAGAAATGGCAGAGCTTCCTTCATCCCCATCTCTCTCCTCTCACTCTCTCTCTCTCCCTCCCTCTCTCTCTTAACACAGAAGAGAGTGGACTTGCACACAAATCTGCACTCGATCAGCTTTGTAGGATGTTATGCTTTTGTCTTCTCATTAATGAAGAAAAAAAAAGAAGAGTACTGGTCAGTTTTGAATTATTATACTATTTTATTTTTTCGAGTTTTTATTTTATTTTATTTATTTATTTATTTTTCATGTTAAACTCATGCAAAAATACTCATAGCTCGAATCAGGTGGCTCAATTAGTGGCTCAAATATTCAAAACGATGTCGTTTTGATTTTTTTATTTATTTATTTTTTTTTGCTTCTCTTTCGAACAGAGGGGGAAAGGGAGGGAAGAGGAGAGAGAGAGAGAAGAGAAAAAAAGAGGAAGAGAGAAGCGGCGATCAGGTCCTTCAATCCAGATCAGGTACTTCATCAACATCAACAACTTCATTATCTTATTCTTCTTCAGAAAAAACACGGAAAAAATTAAAAAAAAAAAAAAAACACGTGTCGAGCCAAATTTGAGCCTCCGAATTTCGAGATACGAATCGGCACTGAAACTCATGTTAGACTTTGTAAATTCATGTTTCTGATATATTTGTAAACCAATATGTGTTCTGTTCATAATATATTTGTAAACCAATAAATTTTATAAACCAATCACAATATGTGTTTTGTTTATAATATATTTGTGTGTGACCAAAATTATTTTTTGACTTTAATGATGCCTTTTTATTTTATTTTATTTTATTTTTAAATACGATTTCAATTAATTTGTTATAAAATTCAAGCCTAAAGTAGTAACCAAAAAATTATTTACCTATATTTGAAAAATAAATTTTTTTTTTTGAACTAAAAAACTTTGGATTTAATTTTTTTTAATTGTTTGATTTGCAAAAATAGTGAGGGAAGAGAGGAAAAGACAAAAATAAAATAAAATATCATATTAATGACTAGCATATGAATTATCATTTTAATTGTGATTCAAACTCAATACAATTCTTACATATTCTTATATATTTTAGTTCATTTTTTTATAAATACATCTAAGCTAAATGACTCCTAACACTCATTAATTAGCATTTCTCATAAAGAAAATTAATAATTAAAAAAAATATGAAGGTCCCGTTTGGTAGAACTGTAGAAAAATGATTATAGATTATAGCTTATAGTTATGAATATAAGCTATTAACCTGTTTGATGCAGCTGTGAGATTATAGAGTTAAGCAGCAGTGTTTGGTTGATAAGCTGTAAAATAATTTTTTGTTGTGTAATTGTCATTTTTGTCCTTATATGATATAAAAATGATTATTTTGTCATTTTTTTAGTTTTAATTTAAAAGAAGTTATTTCATTAATAAAAATTAATATAATTAGTATTACAAAAATTATTATTTTCATTAATAGTATCAATTAGTATCAAATTATTTCATTTTTTCATTATAAATTAATTAGTGTTAATTAATGGCTTAATTAGCGTCGATACTTTTTTTTTTTCTTTTTCTCCTTATTTTCTTTTCTTTTCTTCTTATTCTTCTTCTTCTCTTCTTTCTTTTTGTAAATTTTGTTTAGTTTATTAATTCATTATAATTAACATCAATTAATATCCATGTATTTATATTAATGTTGTGATGTCATTACATATTATTTTTCTTTATATTAATTTCAATTAGTTATTTTATAGAAGTTATAATATTCATTTTTTTAATTTCGTTTAATATAAGTTATTTCATTTTGTACTTCATTTTTTTTTCTTCAATTTTATTTTTTTTCATTACAATTAATAATATAACAATTGTATTTCTTTTCATTAGTGGAAGTAAATTGAATTTTTTTTAATTGAAATAAAATTGTGCAATTTATTTCTTTATTTAAATTTTGCAATTTATTTCTTTATTTAAATTGTGCAATTGTGCAATTTATATCAATAATTGTGAAATAAATTGTGTAATTTATTTAATGGATATAAATTGCACAATTTATTTCAATATTAATTGAAATATTTAAAAAAAAAAATTAAATGGAAGTTAATTGAAATATTTTTTTTTCTCTTTTTTTTATTACAATTTTGCAAAACCCTAGATCTGAGGAGCCGTCGCCATTGTTGTTGCCGCCGCCGATGGTCTGCAAGAAGCCCGCTCTCATCTCATCCATCTCCTCCATCACCACCAAAAACCCTAGATCTGAGGGGCTTGTGTTGCGATCTAGTCTTGATGGTTGCAATGATGGCGGATCGCGATGACGATAATGGCGATTGTGACGATTGTAGAAAGAGTGGGAGAGAAAGAGAGATATCGCAGTGGTGGTTGAGTGCGATAGTGGTGATGCGATGAGGAGAAGACGTGAAGCGGAGGGAGGCGCTATGGTGGTGTCGTCGAAGCCACGGAAGAGGAGATTGACAACTATTGCAAAGGCGTTGACGGTGACGACGTAGGAGGCAGATGAGGCGACGACGTAAGTATGCTGTGGGAGACGAAAAGAGACAGAAAAATGAGAGAGAGTGAGAGAGAGGAAAGACACAACGACGAACACAGAAAGAGAGCTTCACCGGAAATTGCCTCTGACCGTTGAAAATCGCCTATCTCTCTCTCTTTCTCGAAGTGAACGGTGATATGTTTGTGGTTTACATAATGACAATTTAGTAATACTTCAAATTGGTGAAGGGCATTTAAGTCATTTCAATCCCCCTTACCCAGCTACGCATAAGCCATTTTTTATAAGCACCCCCAAGCTGCTTTTCAAAATAAGTTGAAAATTGCTTAAATTAAGCTTTAATCTGATAAATTAAGCTGCACTAAACTCAATATTGTAGCTTAAATTAAGTTAAAAACTGAAACAAACAACTTTTAACCTGCGCCAAACAAGCCTGATGTCAACAAGTGGAGAAATTCTTTTTGTCTCATTCTCACGTTGCTATTCTTGGTTTTCATGTCATGATCAAAAATATTTTCAAAACCAGTTTTGGTGGTTTTCCCTTTCTTATCCTAGTCATATATTGGAAATCCAAGGACTTGGCTGCATAAATAAAAAAGTTAAAAAAAAGTTCAAAATTTGAATATTGTAACAAAATAAGTTATAAATTTTTAATTTTATCAATTTCAATTCTAATTTTTTAATTTATTTTTAATCTAGATTATTAGTCTATTTTTGTTAAATAATAGTGATGAAACAAAATAATATTTTGGTTATTAAATTCAAAGAAAATAGAAATTTTAGACATTTTTCGTACACCTACACTAATTAAAATACTAATTTTAATAAATTTTACTTAAAGAAATAGACAAATAGTTTAGGTGAAAAATAAATTAAAATATTAGGTTTAAATTGACAAAATTAAAAATTTAGTATTTATTTTATTATGAAATTCAAAATTTAGAATTGTTTATAATTATTTCAAAAAAATAAAAAGTAGAATTATTATTAAACCATATTGTAATGGTAAGTTGAATGTAACGTTAACCTAATGTGGTCCTCCGTGTGAGTTTTATTCTATGCTTCGCCAAGCACTATAATATATAACTAACAACGTACGATCGACTCTGTTACAAACCAATCAGACAATGGTTTCATGGTTTGGATGTTGTCCTCTGACTCTTTTGTTTTATTTTATTCAAAATAGAGATGCCCATAAATAATTTTTTATTTATATTGTACGAAAATTATTAAGTATTCTTATATGATATAATGTTGAATTGTTTATGTTGTATTTTTTTGAAAATGAGGAACTGTAAAATACATGTGGTAAGTGATCTTTATTAGATAGTTTTAAAATATCATGTGATATTTTTATATAATATTTCTTAATTAATGAAAAATTATAACACATCCTATATACACAATGTCACATGACAATCATGTCCGTATTTATTTTTAAGTAAATATTAAAAAGTAAATTACACTGATTTCCTTTGAGATTTGAAAAAAAAAAAAACAAATTTCACTATTTCATATAACAATTAACTCTATTTTCATTAATCATTCGTTAGTAATATGGTTGGAAAAGTAATCCATTATTTATCTTGTATTTTCTCAATATTTACATTAATAATTTCGGTCCCTTTAATCTTATTATTAAAAGGGAGACTGGTGTAATAATACTAAACTATAGAGCTTGATATATATTTTTTTAAATCTTAGAAGAAATTGATATAATTTATTCAATATAAAGATATGACTGTCTTTTTACTCTTAATATATATATATATATATATAGCAATACTACCCAAACCAAAATACATTAGGAGGAATATTATTCATAAAAATAATCTTGTCTGATTTGCACTAATTTGTGTAATTACTGTACATGTTTAATATCAATATGAGATTAAAATAAAGTTTAGTCTAATGTCTTTCGCAATCAATAATAGGAAACTATAAGTATGCAATTATTATGTGGACAGAAACTTACAAATTTGTTTATTATCCATCATTCAAAATATTTTAATGAAGTCTTATAATAATAATAATAATAATAAGACATACAACCTCTTCAAGAAATGTTCAACTGAATGGTGCTTCAGGCCAGAGGTATCCAAGGATCAAGAAGCTCAACATAGGGTTGTTTGGTATAATTTATTTGAAATGTTATAATTTTTAATTTTTTAAGATATTTCGAGAATTTGTGTCAAATTATTTGTTACAACTTCTGTTTATTAGGTAGTTAAATTAATTGAAAAAAGCTTATTATCTGAAGTTGTAGAAGAATGCTTTTAACTTATGTGTTTTAATTATTAATTTTTAACTTATAATAAATTACACCAACCATGCACATCAGATTAATGGAGCAATTGTAGTAGGTGCATAGAACTGTATGAGAAGGAACAATGCATGGGGTGATATTATGGCAAATATATTCCTTTCTAGATCTCTACTTATTATATATTAATATATTAAGATTTATGTGTTTGCTGTGGATACCCAGTTAGAATGAAGCCGTGGGGGTTTTGAAACCAAAAAAGATGTCATTACAACTAACATGTTTCCTGTCTAAACTATTATCAATAATGTTGTGGAGTCAGAAGACTAGTTTGAAAAATAATTGTAGAAAATGAATTTTGTGAATACTATATTTATGGTAAGTGTGAATCACATTATATTAAATTTGAATCCATGTTATACTTTAATTTTTTAATATTTCTTTCTTACTCTATAACTTTTTGTAAACCACATATATTGAATCTTTTGAATGTTACAAATTACATTAGGTGAATATCTTTTATTTCTCATTCATCGACTATATAATTTCTTATTACTACAATATAAAATGGGTAGTGCTAATAGCACCCACATTTATTCATTGAACCCTTCATTTTTCCATAATTTTTTTTCTATTGCAATTATATCCTCTCATAAAATTTCATTTTTATTCTTATCCCTAACCATCTACACTCTTACCAAAATTGCTACCCACTATCAATCACCACCATTTCCAGTTGCCACCCCTTGCCCCTCCCTACCCTTCCCTTCTCCTGTCACCCCCATTTCCTTCCCACCTTCTCAACCACTACCTACGAGAGAGAGAGAGAGAGAGAGAGAGAGAGAGAGAGAAGAAGAAGAAGAAGAAGAAGAAGAAGAAGGTCCCAGTGGTGGGGAAGGCTATGTGTTGCAATTTGCATTGGTATGGAGAGGATGGGGACAGTCAGAGCTGGTTGGGTTGTGGTAATGGAGGAAATGAGGAGCAGGGGTGGTGGGGAGGAGAGCAAGGGCTGAGGAAGGACAGGGAAGGGGTGAGAGGGATTGGAAGTGATGTAGGAGCTGGGAAGAAGCGCCTAAGAGTAGGGAGGGGCTGCTGGAGGTGGTGGTTGTTGAAAGGGGGAAGGTTTAGGATTTCAATCCGGTTGAGAAAAGAATATAACTAAGATTAAGGAGGGAATTGAAGAAAAGAAAAGAAACAAAAAAAAAAAAAAAATCAGAAACAAAAATGGGGACCAATTTAATGTGGGTGATATTAACATAACATGTTCAATGTTGTAAGTCTGACCTGTGGCTTACATGGAGAGTTTGTTATACAACAGAAATGCATTCAATACCATGAACAGTTCAACCATGTAACCAAATAGTCACATATATATATATATATATATATATTTTTTTTTTTCAACAATCACGATGTCATAACTAGCTTACGACCTAAAAAATTAATTTCTTACATCACAGTCTCAAGAATTAAGAGTAATTATGTAAGAAGTACATCCACCAATCACTTAGAACAATCCTCAGAGGGTTGCATACATATGTAACAGAACTAACGAAGAGATATAAAATACACTCTTTGTATTTTAATATGTACAAAACAAACTCTTGTGAATGGCCAAACATTCTGTTATTATTAACACCTATTAACATCAGAGATATCAGAACACCTGTGTATTCTTCTACCATGAAGCATTTTTTTTTTTTTTGAACTCTCTCTTGAGCTCTTTTGCTTTTGCGTTTGCTTTTTATTGTCCTAATAGTAAGGGTCTAAACTTGTGAGTCTCCTTCCAAAAGGGGAACCTTGTCCTCTGATGAATCCATGGTGCCATCATGATGGTGATGATCAATATGTGTTTCATCTGCTTTAATTTGTCCCCACATCACTGTATAAAACCCCATTCCAACTATAGCTGCACCCAGAATGCTGCATAATTTAAACAGGAGAAAAAGGAAACATTAATCTACATTTCAAAAAATTTCAGTGTAGTCCCATTTTTTACATTAGTGATCCTCTGTCTTTAAAATTTTATATTCGTGTCTCCAATATCTTTTCGTATGCATAATTGTGTTTTGGAATTCTTGTCTTTCAAGATTCTCAACATATTGCAGAGTGAAGAAGCAGAACATGAATTTTGAAACACAGATTTTGTGCCTATGTTTTCATATGTGACCATAATCAGTTAGGATTTGGGGTCTGATGTGCCATTCACTAGGGCCTCATCCCAAGGCCTTTTGTATAATTTGAATCGTTCACTTGGCATAAATCTAATGTTAAATCTAAATTTAATTTCACAAGTGAATCCTAATTTATTTTTATGTAAATCTTATAACATAAGACAAATTATAATTTTTAGACTTTACAAAACATGTAAAAATTACTATATTGACAAATGTAATTTACTACTATCATATGATAAATTAAATTTACGAAACTCATAAGACGAAATGCATTTATATTTTATCATAAATATAATTTTTGTGATTTATTTTTAAATTTTTAACACTTAAATTATGACATATTTGTTATTAAGAGCTTAGAGCACACAATTAATGACATAAGAATAATAAAAAAAATGCTCTTATATGTAACTGTAATAAAAATGAATAAAATTTAATTAATTCTAAATCATTTTTGTTAAATAATGTAGATAAATTTTTTAGATTATTATTTAATTTTAAAAATTAATTTTTTGATTATTTATTTATACCCGTGCGCTAGATCCCATATGATCATTGGAGAAAAACATGTATGCAAAAAATTAGATTTGATCAGATATAAATAATTACATAATCAAAGTACATATATATATTATGATATATCGACGGTTTATTCTTAAAAACATATAACCCGTATAGATAAGAATAGTTTAATGATATGAGAATCAAAGTTAAATCAACTTAATTTTTTTGTATAAATAATTTTCTTTGTTAATTGTATAAAATAAACAGTTTAGATAATAAAAAATAAATCAAAATTAGTCTGATAATAAAACAATTTGACTGGGAATTGAAATCTTCAACTTTAACCATTCATGCTCATTTACTAGTAGGTGTGACCAATTGGCCAGACACTTTTTAACTATTAATCCATCATCATCATCATCATCATCATCATCATCATCAATCTAGTGGGTGGCAAGAAAATTTTAAAGATCCCCAATAACCAGAAAGAATATCATACTGTGGGAATAGTACAACCCTAGCGGTGACCAATTTGCAAAAGCAAACAAACATGGCCATGATCGCAGTGAGGCTGGTGGTAGAGAAATTGGGTACTCTCCTAGCAGAAGAAGCTCAATTGCTTGGTGGAGTTGGAAGGGGAGTTGCTGAATTACAGGATGATCTAGAGAGCATGAGATCTTTCCTACAAGACGCCGAAGCAAGAAGTGAATCCGATAAAGGAGTCAAAACTTGGGTGAAGCAAGTCAGAGATGTGGCCTATAATACCGAGGATATTCTTGAGGAGTTCCTCCTCCGCTTGTCACCGCCACAGGGGAGCGGTTTCTTTCACATCCTCCACAAAGGCTACCACCACCTGCGCCAATTGAGAGCGCGACACCGCTTGGCGGTTCAGATAGAGGAAGTGAAGAGGAAGGTTAAGGCCATTTCAGAAAGACGAAATGCATTTTCATTTAAAAGGATAGAGGAAGCAACAACTTCACCTGCTACCACTACGTTGCAGACATGGAATGATCCTCGACTGGCTTCTCTTTTCCTAGATGATGCCGATGTTGTGGGAATTGAGAATCCCAAGAGCTTGTTAATTTCTTGGCTGGTAGGCGGAGAGCAGAATCTGACCGCCGTCTCTGTGGTGGGGATGGGTGGCGTAGGCAAAACAACTCTGGTGAAGAAAGTTTATGATAGTCAAGCTGTTAAGAAGTACTTCGACCACCATGCCTGGATAACCGTGTCGCAGTCATTCACGGCGGCAGAGCTTCTGCGGGCTGCGCTGAAGGATTTCTTGGAGGAGATAAAAGAGCCAATTCCTCAAGGAATAGATACGATGGATGAAAGACAATTGATCAACAAACTCAGGGTCTATCTACAACAAAAGAGGTATGTTGTTGTCTTTGATGATGTATGGAGCACAAATGCTTGGGAAGTAGTTAAACTTGCATTACCCGATTCTTGTTGTGGGAGTAGGATCATTTTCACAACACGAATCGGTGATGTAGCTGCATCTATAGAAACAACTAGTCATGTTTACCATCTCCAGCCTCTTCCGGAGGAGGAGGCTTGGACACTCTTTTGTATGAAAGCTTTCCGAGGGGAAAACAATGGCATTTGTTCGAAAGAACTGGGTGAGATGTCTTATAAAATCTTGAACAAGTGTGGGGGACTGCCTCTGGCAATTGTAACAATAGGTTCCCTTTTGTCTAAGAAGAATAAACATTTGTTGGAATGGAAGAAAGTCCATGATAGCCTTTCTGCAGAGGCGAAAAGTAATTCCAATTTTGAAACTCTAGAAAGAATACTTCTGCTTAGTTACATTGACTTGCCATATCACCTCAAATGTTGCTTCTTGTACTTGAGTGTTTTCCCAGAGGATTATTTGATCAAAAGAATGAAACTTATCCGGTTATGGGTGATTGAAAGATTTGTGGAAGAGAAACCAGGGCTCACTGCTGAAGAGGTTGCAGAGGACTACCTTAATGAACTTGTTAGTAGGAATATGATTCAAGTAGTGGAAACAGATTACTTCAATCGGGTTATGACTTGTCGTGTACACGATATTATGAGAGAAATTATCCAGTTGAAATCTAGGGATGAATCATTTGCTATGATACTACTGAATGATAGAAGGATGTCAATGGAGGAGAAGGTTCGTCGAATGTCAATCCATGGTAGTTGTGAGGAAGAGCTCCCATCAGGCATGAGATTCACTAGCCTCAGATCTCTTTTGGTGTTTGTTTCAACAAGTTCATCAATGTCTTTGGGGAAGACATTTTTTAAGGGTTTCAAATTGTTAGGAGTTTTGGAGCTTGAAGGTGCACCGCTTTATGAATTCCCTCCAGAGCTGACTGAAATGATTCACTTGAGATACTTAAGTCTAAGGAGGACAATGATAAATAAGCTTCCAGAGTCCATAGGAAAGCTCAAGAAATTAGAAATATTGGACCTCAAACATTGTCTCAGGACTTGCATATCATCCCTGCCAAATGGGATCTCGAAGTTGAAAAATCTTTGCCAATTGCGTGGCTATGGCTATTATTTGGAATCATCAACGATGTTGGCCACATACGGGATGAACCTTCCAGGAAAGATAGGAGAATTAACAAATCTACAGAAATTGGGAAATGTTGAAGTGAACGGTAATGGTGATATGTTGAGAGAGTTAGGAAAGCTAACCCAATTAAGGAGGTTGGGTATCTTGGAACTGACACAAGAAAATGGAATGAAGCTATGTTCTTCTTTAGAGAAGTTGAAGCACCTCACTGCATTATACATGGTTTCCATAAGCACCAGTGAACCTCTTCATCTTAATTCTCTATCATCTTGTCCGCAGTTTCTACAACGCCTATATCTCAAATCTAGCTTACTGACTTTGCCTAAATGGATCGCCTCCCTCCAATACCTGGCCAAACTAGTGCTTCAGTACTCTAATCTACATGATGACCCGCTAAAATCACTCCAGGGATTGCCCAACTTGGTAGTGCTGGAACTCCGAGAAGCATTTGCAGGGGAGGAACTGTGTTGCAATATTGGAGGGTACCCAAGGCTTCAAAAGCTTAGCCTTCATCAACTAAGCCAATTGAAGTGTGTCCGAGTAGAGCAAGGAGCAATGCCTGGGCTATTGCAACTAAATATTGTAGCATGTGAGAAACTAGAAGCTGTGCCAATGGGTATTGAGCACCTTAGAAATCTATGTTATCTAGTGGTATGGCGCATGCCTAGGGGATTCTACCAAACTATAGAGAGATCAGATGGTGAAGATTTTTGGAAGGTTCAACATATTGAAGCAATCGAAGCCATTTATTGACATCGGTTATTCCATGTCCCTTGGGTGAGCTACCTGCAACTTTAATTTTTCTTCACTATCCATAGACATAGATTTACCGAGTATTGATTGACACATATAGGTAGGTGAATATACATATGTGTGTGTGGATATTGCAATGTGAAGTTTATGAATATTTTTGGGTATGGAAACCCTTTACTCTTTGTAGCATGCCAGTTCTCGTTGAGACTTTTCTAGAAACAGTTGACTAATGTATTAAACAATTGACGGCATGTGTACAATACATTAGTCAACTGTTTCTTACATATAATTGAGTATTTACAAACCCCTTTTTTCTTTTTAACTTTTTAATTAATCTTTATTCGGAAAAATTTCCCTTGCAAGTGAAATTATTTTGATTCAAAGAAATTGAAAGAACATCAACACACTACTAGAAACATGACTTTTTGTGTTTATTTTTTTGCGACTGATGGTTTAGTGGTTGCAAAAAATTACTTTTTACATAAAAAAATAAATAAAAAATGACCCAATCGTGTTGTTAACTAAAGCTTGACCTATCTCCCCTTTTCACTCTTATTTCCCAAATTTGTCTCCAACGGTGGTGTATGAACTCTCTCTCTCTCTCTCAAAATCTCTCTCGCTCGACTCTCTCTTTTGACTCTCCACTCTCTCTCGCTTGAATCTTACTGTCCACAGTCGAAGCTCTTCGTATGGAGCTTCCAAAGCAAATTACTCAACCACAACACATTGCTCTGTTTCTCTTCTTCATAAATATCGTTTCTTTGTCTTTGTAGCGATCTTCTTCTTCTTCATCTCTCTCTCTCTCTCTCTCTCTCTCTCTCTCGCTTCAATCGCCGGAGCTTTCATGGCTGCTTATTCCGCTGCCGGATTGGCCTGTCGCCTTCAAATCCGCCGAAATTTCTGCTCATTCTGGCAATTTGAAACTCTCTAATTTCCGACATTGCTCTCCGATTTCAAGCCGAGTCGGATCTATTCAACTCCGACATAGCCTTAACTCGCATTGCGGATCCCGAAGCTCCTTTGCTTCGTCTGGTAATCGTCACTCTATGTTCTGTTTAATGATATCACTGAATGAATTGAATCGAATCAGTTAATTGCATAGTCACTCGTAATTTCTTAGGTTTAATATAATCTATCACCTCTGCTTCTCTCTTTATTTGACTTAGGAAATCTAGGTTTTTAATTATTTGCAATTCTTTCTTTTCTCATATGAAAAGTTTCTATCTATTTTCAATTCTTCTCACATATACGTGGATATTTATATACATACATCTGAATTTGATTAATTTTTTGTTCTGCGATTATTTTGTGATCAATCTACTTTGATTTGTTTCTTCTCTGGTTAGAAATGGAAAGCAAGTTTGCATGGCAAACAATTTTGTTCCTTATTACTAGATTTTTCTGTTCTATAGAGTCACTCATTCAGCCAAGAAGGTTCAAAAATGTAATAAATAGGAGTAGAGAATTCACACACAAAAAATAAATAAATAAATAAGTAAATAAAATTGAAGAAGAAGAAAAAAGAGATGCTCATTTGTCTGTCTCTAAATAATATACAGGTAAAAAATGAGCAAGAAAATTCAATGGAATAGTTCATAGGCTTGCTGTAGAGACATCTCAATCTCGAAACGAATAGCAAGGGACCAAATTATTTGTCAAGTTTGTGTTTGTGTGTAAGAAATTGCTAGGTATAGCAGAGGTAAAAAGAGGAGGTTGAGAATGAACAAGAGACTTTGAGCTATAGTATTGTATCCAAGCAAAACTCAAAGGTTAAAATCTAGATTTATAAAGAAAAAACAGAACAACAAATATGCATGTATATGTGTTTGCCTAAAAGCAAGTCAGATTATTTTTTTAGGTGTCTGCCCTAAATGCTGCCTTGGATTTTTTCAATTTGTCTTGATATTATTAATTCCCTATTTTGAATAAAAGTTGGATTTTTTATAAATTGATTTTCCCTTATGTTATTTTATTTTATTTTATTTTTTGAATTATTAGAATGGCAATGGAGAATTTGTGTATTTATTATTTGTCATAGTATATGTATATTCATTCAAAGATAACAACATAACACTAATTCTCACTTGCTGTTTTCTTTCTCCTATTTTGGCTACAGATGCCACCTCATCCCGCCTTCAGTATCCAACCCACCGGATATCCATCTATTATTTTGTAAGTCATGTATAATCTACTTGAAGATTCGATGAAGTTTTTTATTAATTTTCAGGATTACAGTGTTGTCATCTTGTGCATGTTGTTGAACTCATGATTGATCTTAGTGTAGTGTTAACTACATGATTGATCTCTCTCTCTCTCTCTCTCTCTCTCTGCCTTCTTCTATTCGCATGAAGCATCACAGGTTAGGCAATATGATAGAGTAACTACTTACTAATTGATGGGTTTTGAATCTTATTTTCTAGCCCCTTATCACTGTTATACCCGACATGGATTTTTGAATTTTTCTTTTTGGGTAATGGATTTTTCTTTTTGAATCTTATTTTCTAGCCCCTTCTTTTTTGAATTTTTCTTTTTGAATCTTATTTTCGAACTTTACTCTCTCTCTCTCTCTCTCTGTGTAGGTATTTGTTTTCTTTGTTTTGGCGAATCCTCTGATCACTGGTCGAAGCTCTCCTTTGGATCACATGCTTCGAAGTTTGCAAAAAATGTGAGGGATTCACGCTTCAGGTGCGTCTCTTTTGTTCTTTTTCTTTACATTATTTAGCTTTCTTGTGATTTTATTGTGTTTGGTTGCCGAGAAAATGTCGTAAAATGATCTCTTCTTCACATCCACTGAACTGAGCTTGAAGCCAAGTATTTTTCGTGAGGTTCAGATTTTAATTTTCTCACATTTTATAAAACACAGGACAGCCAGTATGTGATAATAATGTGAGAAGGTTTAGAATATATTGGCTTTCTCAGTCTAATTGTTAAAGTAGATGTTTTGGAAGAGTTTTAGATGATGTGGTTTGCTGCACTGAGGTTTGCAAATGTGAATTTGACCAAGTTTGTTGACAGATTTTGACAAATGGCTGCTAATAAATGAAGTACTGCATAGTGAAGGTGAAATTTCATGGTTATTTTCACTTTCCATGATTCAATAGTTTGATAGAGCTCATATCAATGAGATGTCTGCTTAATTAAATTCAACTTAGTGAACAAAAAGGAGCAAAATCATATCCAAAGAGGAGCAAAATTAAAATACGTTCTTCGCCTACGACCGAATCTTTCACAGACCCTGCATGTTATTTAGATAATAATTATTATCAGTTGCATAAAGAAGCAATAGATCATATAGACAAATATAACTAAAGTTTCAGATGCTAAAATTGATCACAAGACATCTTGATGTTGCGTCACCTTCATGAGGATTTATTCAAACATGTGGTAGGCAAATAAAGCATGCTAATTTTGGCTTTAGCACAATGGTAAGGCTGCTCCGTTGTGACCTGGGTGTCTCAGGTTCAAAACACGGAAATTACCTATCCATATGTGGTGGTAAAGTTGGGTACATCTGATCCTTCCCAGGCCCTGCTATAGTAGGAGTTCATGCATTGGGTTGACCATTTTTGTGGTGGTATCATATTAATGCTCATCGTTTTCTTTTTCTTTTTTAATAATCTTTATGATGCTACTGGATGTTACTATATGAATTTTCAAATTCTCCTGGAAGCAGTTTCATGTAAACAATAACATCGATATTCTTATTTTAATTGTCAGAAATTAGAATTCTCTTACTCTGAAAAAGAGAGGTAATTGCTTATAACCAGCTTTGCCTTGCAGTCCCTGGATGTTTCATATGGTATTCGGAATTTGCAATTAATATAGTAACATCCAGTAGCATCATAGTGATAACAGAGTAACTTTATATAGTGATAAAAATGCTACCATATTGTTAACATGGTGAATTAAAAATGCTCCCCTGTTACCACTGGATCAATTTGTTTTTTTCCCATCCCTTTCCCCTTTTCCTATAGAAACTCACTAGATAAATTTTCTATTAAGTTTGTGACGGTGTTTGCTGTCACTTCATCTACAGGGATGTTTTAGAGCTGAAGGAGGCTGTTAAAATTAAAGACGGTGAATCGGAGGCTTATATTTTTGAAATTGAGGTCTGATGATTATGTTTAAGTCCTCAGATAACCATGTAATTTTTCTTGTTCACTGTGGTGATGTTTTTTGTGCCTTGATCCTGCCTTTATTTCTTCTCACCATTCTGTTTTTCTTTCTTACACATTTATTTTATTTACAGACTAATGGTCAAGCATATGAAGATATGCAGACGCAGAACCAACATTTGTTGCAGCAGGTGGCTGAAAGGGATGATTATAATATCAAGCTCTGTATTGTAGTTACTTGCCTCTCCTTTCTTGTTTACCATCTTATTGTTTGTTGTTATGTTATGTAATATTTTAGTATCATACGCTTCATTATACGTATGTAATGATTCATTATGTTTAAATGCAAATCAATACGTTTAGCCAATACATATAGCCAATACACATTTTATGTTAAAGGGGGGTGGCCTTGGAGTGTGGTGGGTGTGGCGAATGGGGAGTGGTGGTGATGGGTGGCCGATTTTGGGATGGTAGGGGAGATGTGTTAGGTTGCACATCGGAAAAATTATCGGTTTCCTTGTCCTTCATTACCCGTGAGTTGTTATTGTTGAATTTATCACTTCTCTCATAAATTCACATTATGTCAATTTTCATGCTCACTTTTATTCATTATGTGAATTTCAACCTTTTTTAGAAGGCCAAGCAATTCAGCATAATTTGTTCGGTTGCAACAGAATACTTACCAAAGCAAGCAAGTTGAAGAATCCAAAATGGACATGCCCAAAGAAATTTTTCTGAAAGATTACAAGGTGCCTGATTACTACTTTTGTATGGAATTATTATTTTAGATTGGAATATACAAGTTTGTATGGAATTTGACATTAAAAATTATTCTTTTTTGAATGATTGGAAGTGAAATGGATGTAAATTACAAAATGATTGATAATATATGTATTGTTTTGTTTATATACATGATATAGGTTACACAGAATACATACAGGTTATGGACAAATTAAAAACAAAAAAAAAATAATATCATGTTTTTGGCCATTAAATAATTGGTAGCCAAAAAGGAAGTAAATATTTTTAGCAACTAAATAGTTAGTAGCTAAAAAAAAATAAAATGAAAATTTTTTTTGAGAATTAAAATTTTAGTAGCCAAATAGAAAAATAGACGTTAGGCGATTAAATTTTTAGTAGTTAAAAAAAATTATACTCTAGGCTTAGGTGATTAAAACATTTAGTAGCTAAAAAATATAAGATGAACAAAAAAAAAATTTGGTTACTAAATAAATTAGTCGTGAACAGTAATTTTAATTTTGGCGACTAAATGTTTTAGTCACTGAAAATGTGATATTAATTGTTTTTGAAAGCTTTTTGCGACGGCAAAATAGCTGTCGCAAAAAATAGTTTAGGCAGTTGCAAATAATTTGCGACCGTTGTTTTGCCGTCGTAAAAAGTATTTGCCACCCTCACATTTGCGTCCCCCATCTGCGGTTGCATAGGCCGTCGCAAAAAGTCTTCTGCGACTGTATTTTTATTATTTGCGATGGTTTATGGCGGTTGCAAAAAATGTTGTTTTTAGTAGTGACAAATATAATACTATGAGAACACTTTGGTTTCTGGAAAATATCATTGAAAAGCTACAACCTTCTGTAGTGTTTATTTGCCGGAATGCCATTCAATACACAACAGAGCTAGCCTTGACATATATAGGCTGCTGAACAATGTTTGATGGGCCACTTTAAGCAAAAAAACAAACTTCAAATTTGACATTAATACAAGGCAGTTCTCAAAATACAGAGGAAAAGAAAATGGAACTTAATTTTTTTTTCATTTACCGTTCTAAACTTGTCTCTCTGATGTTCTGCAAGAGCGGCGCTTTTTCTCTGGGTGATTCTGAGCTGGTTTCCTCATCATCTGTTATCACCTTTTGTTCTTTGGATTTTCCCCACATAACAGAGTAAAATCCTATAACAATAATAATTGATCCCACCACACTGCACAAAAACGATGTTTTAAAAAATGATGATTACTACTATACAGTATTAGGATTCAGATGATCTCTTATCAAATTTGACATAATCGGATCTGGCTCAGATTCGGGTTATTTTATAATCAGATTGAATTAGGATTATGCTAGATCTGGTTTGTAATTAACAAAAATACACCACCATTTAAAAGAAGTAGAGAAAGAATTTCGCTACCTTCCCAAATACAAAATATCACCAAAGATGATGATACCGACCACGGTCGAAATGACAATCCCCAAGGGGGGAAACACTGCAGTAAAAAGAGGCCCCCTCTGGCGCAGGCACCACAGCAGAATGCTTGCTTGTATTGAAGAACCAACAATTCCCTACATTTTGGCACATAATAAGTCACTATGCTGCATATTTATTCTGCAACTTAAATCATACTGATCAAGCAGTACATCACTCAAATTGATTTTCTCTTCTAATGAGTGTGTGTTTGATTAAATCATCCTGAGTTCAACAATCAAAAAGACAAAACCATTACTGAGAAAAGAATGGAAAGCAACTTCACAGAAGGTAGTAAGCTCCAAGCGGCCGGGTCTCTTTCCATAACCAAAGATAAAATTCCAGTCATAATTGCGACGAAAAAGCTGAAGAAAAATACTATAATAAGCTCTGCGCCAAATTCCGTGAGGAGAAATGCCTGAAACAATAGCGGGATAAAATAAAAATAAAAAACGGTAGTGATAGTATGTTGGTAATTAATTTCTAGTATGTTTGAGAGCGTTTTCATGGAGTTTACCTGAGTAATAATGTATGCCGAAGAAGACAAACATTCGATTGTAAGGAGAAAAGCTCCTAGGACCAAGTTGTATTGTGTCGCGGTCATCAGAAGTGAGGGACCCTTGTAGAGAGTCACAATGAGAGCCCCTACAATCGAGACTATAGTTCCGATGGATTTAGCCAGGGTACTTGAACTTTTAAAATCCGCTTGTTCCAACCTAAACAAATCCGTCGCACAAATTTAAAACCATATTGCAGAATAAACAGTTACGTGTAAAATAGTAGTACAATTCATTAATGATAAAGTGACATTGTGTATCTGTGGCGTGTTCACGAATAAAGTTTCAAACATGAATTTGGTAGAAACTCGTGATGATTAGTTAACTTTAAGGTAATGAAACTACTACCAAGATTAACAGCAATTTGACCTTATAAAAACATATGGATAGGCTATTAATGGACGAAACAAAATGTGTTTCCCCAATTTCTCTAAAAAAAATTTGTTCTGTACTGTTGATTTTCCATATCCAAATGCAAAATTAGCATTTCCAAAAAAAAAAAAATTTGAAGAGAGGATCCAGATAAATGACTAGGATTATCACATAAATTTTCTACTCTAAAATTCATCTTCAGAACTACAAAATATAGCAAACACACGAACGCGCACACACACACGAACGCATTAATGTACATATTTGAAAAATTATGAAACCACCTAAAAAATCAGTGAAAAATGTGATTCAAGCTAATGACAAAAATTTCACATTATGCAAAATTTAAAGAATTTGTCAAGAAATTAGAGTTATAGAGGGAGAGCAGAATGGAACCTGAAAATGACAGCAAGTGTGAATGTAAAACCTGGGACCAGGTTCATAATTGCTGTGGAAAATGATGCTGGAGTTATCTGTACTGCTACATTCCCAACTACCTGTGATGTGCAACTGAACAAAATGAACAGAGTCTAAGGTCAATCTATGTTGTATATATTGTATTGAATACAAAAAAGTTATACAAAATGATAAGTAAACTTTCGTTTTAGGGTTACACTGACCATCCCTGAGGTTTTAAAAAAGTACAACATGGATAAATCACACTAACCTCTCCTAAGATTTGAAAAAAATACAACAAACCTCACAATTTTGATATAACTACATGAAGTTCTCTTATGCTATGTTTGGTTGGGAATAGGGCTAAGCAAAGAATCCATGAAATTCGTAATCTGATTCAGTCCAGTCCAATCCAGTGGGTTTGGATTGGTTTTTTGAATCCGTGATTCGGTTCCGGATTGAACAATTAAAATCCCGTAGTCCACGGATTGATTCCGGATTGAACCCCACGGTTCCGGATTGAACCCCACGGTTCCGGATTGGAACCAATCCGGACCGTATACAAATAGTCTATATTTTTATTATACACACTCCCGCATAGTATCTTCTCTTATTCCATATAAAACTTAATCCAAACCTAAGCCCACATAGTATCTTCTTTTATTACTTTTATTTGTTAGTTTTTAGTTTTAATTTGTAATAGTCTAAATACTGATGGTGGAACTAGTTTTCTTATGGTTGCTTAAATTTTAGAACAGTATGTCGTTATTATAGAAAGATATGTTGTTATTGTAGAACTAATATAGTCCTATGTATATATTTTTATGAAATTAAAGTGTTATATATATATGTATATTGCTATTTAATTATGTGAATCTATGATCCTAAATCGATCCAATCCAATTCATGTTTAAATGGATTGGTTTGGATTGGTTCCCTGATTTAAACGGATTGGATCGTAGATCACGGATTGGTCCTGATTTTATCCCAATCCGGTCCAATTTGGATCATGCTCTTGACTAGTTGGGGGATTTCGGAAATGATTTGAAAAGGAAAAAGGAAAATGTGTGTGAAAATAGATGAAATGTAAGTATATTTTATTTATATTTCACTGACATTTTTCCTTTCTTTTTTTTTTTTTTCCAAATCTCTCAATCAAACAAAGCATTAAGGTTTTAATTCACATAACACGTAATTCCCTTTTTATCAATAATTTGTTATTATTTCTTGTTTATCCTAGTGTTTTCATACGATATGTATTAGTTTCAGTCTATTTAATTATGCGACTGCTTGTATTTTCTCCAAATCTCATGGGAGGTGAGTATAATTTACCTTTTGAAAAAATATCAAACCTCTAGAAAAGGGTTAATTACACTTTTTACTCCTGTAGTTTGATCTAAATTTTACGTTAATCCCTATAGTTTCAAATTGACCAATTTGGTCTCTACATTTTAAGTCCAATTTCAAGTTAGTTCTTCTGTCCAAATTTGAAGTTAAAATTAACAATTTTGGTATACTTGTCAATTTTCTAAGGTGACATGTAGAAAAAATTAAAAGAACTCGGAACGGAAGGATCAAATATAAGTCGCACTTAAAGTGTAAGGATCAAATTGTTCAATTTAAAATTGCACGGACTAAAATGAAATTTAGATCAAACTGTAGGGGTAAAAAGTGTAATTAACCCCTGAAAAAATATCAAACCTTTCATCTCCCCTGTTTCTATCAATGGAATTCCCCATGAATGATCTATCTCCAAGACATGGAGATAAAGACCCATTAAATTGACTAATATTTTTAAAAATTCGATTTCCAAATCATTTAAAATCTTGAAAATATATTTCATACACTATATCTGTATTTCGAAGGAGGTAAAACCCCAAAATTTATATTTGGCAGATACATTCATTCTCTTAGATCTCTTCATTCAATTTCATGAATCTATCAATAAATAAACAAATCCAATCAAAGATTTGCTATATATGGGTGTTCTTACTATGATATATACAAGTCAAGCATTTAGAGACATACCCAAGTAAGCTTATCACGAAAAACTTGCAGAGGAGAGAGAAAGTGATGGGAGGACGAGTCGATCTGCATGGAAATGGAAACATGGTAAAAGAACAGAGAGAGAGAGAGAAAGAGAGAGAGGGTACCTGTGAAGAAGAAAGGAAGTGGGGAGAAGAATGAGGGCAGCAAGAGAATTGGAGTAGAAGACAAAGGTGAACTTGGTGAGGCCATGTGAAGTGGCTTCTTTGACTGCCACTATCATACCCACCTGTATAAACTGTATACTCACCATACCCAGAAATGGCAGAGCTTCCTTCATCCCCATCTCTCTCCTCCCACTCTCTCTCTCTCTCTCTCTCTCCCCCCCTCTCTCTTAACACAGAAAGAAGAGAGTGGACTTGCACACAATCTGCACTTGATCAACTTTGTAGGATGTTATGCTTTTGTCTTCTCATTAATCAAGAAAAATTACTCACAATTAAATAAAGAAGAGTACTAGTCAAGTTTTGAATTATTATACTATTTTATTTTTTCGAGTTTTTTATTTTATTTTATTTCTTTATTTTTCATGTTAAACTCAGGTTAGACTTTGTAAATTCATGTTTCTAATATATTTGTAAACCAATATGTTAACTTTAATGAAGTCATTTTTTTTAAATACGATTTCAATTAATTTGTTATAAAATTCAAGCCTAGAGTAGTAACCAAAAAATTATTTGGGTGTCGTTTGAGAAGAGCTCATTTGGATTGTTTTAGCTCTTTGAGCCACAAAAGACATAATAGGCTATTTGAGCCACAACAGACAAAACATCACATCCAACCCATAATCATTACATTTTTCTCTCACAAAAAAAGTTAAAAAAGCCAAAAAGCCAAAAAGTCAAAAAGTCCTTCCCAAATCAAGCTTTTGAGCCCAGGCTCAAATAGCCAAAAAAACCAAAAAGCCAAAAGCCAACCCACTTCCCAAACGGAGGCTTACCTATATTTTAAAGATAAGTTTTTCAAAAAAAAAAACTTTGGATTTAAATTTTTTAATTGTTTTATTTGCAAAAATAGTGAGGGAAGAAAGGAAAAGACAAAAATAAAATAAATTATCATATTAATAACTAGCATATGAATTATCATTTTGACCGTGACTCAAACTCAATACAATTTTCATGTATTCTTACATATTTTTATATATTTTAATTAATTTTTTTTCATAAATAAATCTAAGCTAATGACTCCTAACATTCATTAGCATTTCTCATAAATATTTCCATGTCATGATCAAAAATATTTTCGATACCAGTTTTGGTGGTTTTCCCTCTCTTATCCTAGTCATATATCGGAAATCCAAGGACTTGGCTGCATTAAAAATAAATAAATTGAAAAAGTTAAAAAAAAAATTTCAAAATTTGAATATTGTACGAGCATCTCCAAAGGTGATCCTTTTTTTTCATCAAATCTGATGAAAAAAATGGTGATTTTCTCAATTTGGTATTACCACTTCCAACGGTTGTATCAAAATAATACTGGCTAGGGACAACCGGTGGGACGACCAGCCGGTTGACCGGTAAGGTGAAGAAATTTTTTTTTTTAATCTGTTTGAACCTTTTGGACCCTGTTTGAACCTACTTATTTGAAAGGAGCCGGTCGACTGGCCGGTTGACTGGTGGCCTCACCTCCAACGTTCCTGCACAGTAAAATGGTGAAACCTTACACGTATTATTAGTTTCATGAAATTTTTGCTTCATTCTCAGTTTGATATGAGTTTGGTGAAACCATTGGAGAGGAAAAAGGTGGTTTTTTTCATCAAATTCAAATTTGATGCTGAGTCTGATGCAACGTTAGAGATGGTCTAACAAAATAAATTATAAATTTTTAATTTTATCAATTTCAATTCTAATTTTTTAATTTATTTTTAATCTAGATTATTAGTCTATTTTGGTTAAGTAATAGTGATGAAAAAAAAAATATTTTGGTTATTAAATTCAATGAAAATAGACATTTTAGACATTTTTCGTACACCTACACTAAGGCCTCGTTTGGGAGCTCTCTATTTTAGTCAAAAAGTCAAAAAGTTACTAAGGCCAAGTTTGGCATGATTGAAAAAAGTCAAAAAGTCACTATCCTATTTAAGTCACATCATCTTATTTAAGTCACATCACCTCTCTAGCACATCACTTCAAACCCAACCCAAATCCAACCCATATTTTATAAAAAGTCAAAAAGTGCACCTATTTAGTCTTTCCAAACTAGGCCTAAATTAGTCAAAAAGCTAACAACCCATACCAAAAAATCAAAGATTCTCTTTTCTTTTTACTTTTTGCACATCTTTTCGTAAAAAGTTAAAAAGTCATCCCAAACATACTAATTTTTTTAGCTCATATTTTAGTCAAATAGCCAAAAAATTATTAAATTAACCTGTTTCCAAACGAGACCTAAGTATAATAATTAAAATACTATTTTTCAATAAATTTTACTTAAAGAAATAGACAAATAGTTTAGATGAAAAATAAATTAAAATATTAGGTTTAAATTGACAAAATTAAAAATTTAGTATTTATGTTATTATGAAATTCAAAATTTAGAATTTTTTTATAATTATTTCAAAAAAATAAAAATAAAAATATTATTAAACCATATTATAATGGTAAAGTTGAATGTAATGTTAACGTAATGTGGTCCTCCGTGTGAGTTTTTATTATATGCTTCGCCAAGCACCTTAATATAAGTAACATCTCTGTTACAAACCAATCATATACAATGGTTTCATGGTTTGGATGTTGTCCTCGGACTCTTTTGTTTTATTTTACAGTAATGATTCAGACCCTCACAAAATATCACCTCCACAACCCCCACTCACTTGTGATTGGTCCATGTAAGAAAGAAGGAAAAAAAAAAAAAAATACAAACATACCATTAACCCACATCATTGTGGGATCTCCCCAAAATGAGGTCCCAAACATTTTCCTTTATTTTATTCAAAATAGAGCTGCCCACAAATAATTTGTTATTTATATTGTACGAAAATTATTAAGTATTCTTATATGATATAATGCTATGTTGAATTGTTTATGTTGTATTTTTTTTTTGAAAATGAGGCCCTGTAAAATACATGTGGTAAGTGATCTTTATTAATAGTTTTAAAATATCAAGTGATATTTTTATATAATATTTTTTAATTAATGAAAAATTATAACACACCCTATATACACAATGTCACATGACAATCATGTCCGTATTTATTTTTAAGTAAGTATTAAAGAGTAAATTACACTGATTTCCTTTGAGATTTGAAAAAAAAAATATAACAAGTTTCACTTTTTCATATAACAATTAACTCTATTTTCATTAATAATTCGTTAGTAATATGGTTGGAAAAATAATCCATTATTTATCTTGTATTTTCTCAATATTTACATTAATAATTTCGGTCCCTTTAATCTTATTAAAAAGGAGACTGGTGTAATAATACTAAACTATAGAGCTTGATATATATATATATTTTTAAATCTTAGAAGAAATGGATATAATTTATTCAAATAAAGATATGACTGTCTTTTTACTCTTAATATATATATAGCAATACTACCCAAACCAAAATACATTAGGAGGAATATTATTCATAAAAATAATATTGTCTGATTTGCATTAATTTGTCTAATTACTGTACATGTTTAATATCAATATGAGATTAAAATAAAGTTTAGTCTAATGTCTTTCGCAATCAATAATAGGAAACTATAAGTATGCAATTATTATGTGGACAGAAACTTACAAATTTGTTTATTACCCATCATTCAAAATATTTTAATGAAGTCTTATAATAATAATAATAATAATAATAATAATAATAAGAAGAAGAAGAAGAAGAAGAAGAAGAAGAAGACATACAACCTTTTAATAATAATAATAATAAGAAGAAGACATACAACCTCTTCAAGAAATGTTCAACTGAATGGTGCTTCAGGCCAGAGGTATCCAAGGCTCAAGAAGTTCAACATAGGGTTGTTTGGTATGATTTATTTGAAATGCTATACTTTTTAATTTTTTAAAATACTTTGAGAATTTGTGTCAAATTATTTGTTACAACTTCTGTTTATTAGGTAGAAATATATTAAATTAGTTGAAAAAAACTTATTATCTGGAGTTGTTGAAGAATGCTTTTAAATTATGTGTTTTAATTATTAATTTTAACTTATAATAAATTACACCAACCATGCACATCAGATTAATGGAGCAATTGTAGTAGGTGCATAGAAGTGTATGAGAAGGAACGATGCATGGGCTGATATTATGGCAAATATATTCCTTTCTAGATCTCTGCTTATTATATATTAATATATTAAGATTTATGTGTTTGTTGTGCATACCCAGTTAGAATGAAGCCACGAGGCACTACAAGAAAATACATTTTTGGCGATCATTTTTACCGACTAAAAAAATTTTGGTCACCAAAAGCGGTCGGCCATTGTGTTGGTCGATCGGCCTTTTTTGCTGGCCGAACCCTGTTCATCTGCTTTATGCAGATATTTTGTGCCAGCTGGTGCAGTTGGCATCCACCATTCCCCCCCTCCATACACGTGTATGGAGGGATTTGAGCCTTGCTTAGCTTCTCCAAGAAGCTTTGCAAAATTGAATCTCCATAAAAGGAGAGCCTTCTCTCCCTTTCTAGAGGTTCAAGAAATCTGATATATGATTTAGATATAGCTCTCTCTCTATATATCTCCCTCTCTCTACATTTTGTGTGTGAGTTTGAGTTCAAAAGGGTGTTTTGTTCTTATTATTGCACATAAACACCTAGAGTTACACCATCCTTGTTTGCTGAGGTACTAGGAGGTTATTCTTAAGGTTCTTGAGTTGGTTTTGATCAGAGAGAGTTACTGGTCTTGTGTTCTTGAAGTTGTTCTTCAAGGGTGAGTCAACTTGCTTTAGATACCCCATTTTTGCTTAAGCTTTTACACATACTTCTATATTGTTTTAAGCTTGGGTCTAAACTACAAAAAGCTTGGATTTTCTATGCTTGTTATTGTTGCTTAAGGCCTTTTTTTGGTTGGGGGTTGTTTCCCCCCTCTTAGGTCTTGTTTGGCCTCATTTTGTACCTTTACTTTTGAGCTTTGGTGTCATCTTATTCTGACCTTCCCACCACTGAAATCCAGAGGATTTTTGGTGGTGGAGAAGTAGTTTTGAAGTCTTGGATAGGGGAGCGACACCCCCCTCTCCTTGTGCCTCATATGCTTGTGTTAATGGCTTAGTATGGTAGCACGTATACTCGGTTTGTTTTCGCACCATTTCAGTAGATATTTAGTGTTATTTTAGCATGATATACCTCTGTTTTAAGATGGTTTAGTCAGCTCTTGCATGCATCATACACTTGCCTTACAATCCTCTTATTTGTCTTAACATACATTATGCACTTGGACCATCATGCTTACATGTTTT